AAAAAATGAACTCTTTTGGTTTTTTTTTACTCTGAGATACTGACTTTCAATAAGAAGTTGTATGACTTGTAACTGTAAGTATGTTTTCAGTGTTTAGCAGTTTGAAAGATCTCCTTTTTCAGATTGAAACTGATGTAGTCTCCTGAGAGAATATTTCCATTAAAAACCCCAGAAATCTCAAGGGTGTGTGGTAATTATAGATACAGCAGCAATCCTCTTTTTAAGGACTTTTGAAGGACAGATCTTCAAATTTGGGTATTTCTTTGAGTTTAAAGGAATATTTTCATTCTTTGTGGTAGCCATGCTTTAAGCAAATCATCTCATAGATTATAGTAATTCTCAGAACAACCTTAGCATTACTGTGAGGCATAAAACAGTATCTGGATCTTGAAAACCTTCTTTAGCCACTTACCTTTCTCTCCCATCCATTAAACTGAAATTATTTTGCTGGACTGGTGTATTTTTAGACTTCTGGATTTAGTCCAAGTTTATGGCATAAWCTTGACACGACTGCTTTATTTCAATGCTGTGTTCTTTAAATTTCTCTGAGTAGAAAAAGCCTTTCTAAATCACGGGTCATTTAAAAATAGTTTAGCAACCTTTCCCTTAAATATTTTTTAGAAATTAAACGCAGTCACTGGATCTCTATCTGTGTTACACTATTGTACATCAGCTGGTCCATGTGAATCTCTGGGATTTACCTTACTAAGACCATAATCCCCTGACTTGATTTGATAGTTAGATTGTATGTGTGGCAGAGGCTTTAGGCAGAAGAATCAAATACATACTTGGAATTATTTCTGACGTGGGTGGTTACAACAGGGATTTTCAGTGGCGAATTTCTTAGAACAGAATGATTTCATATGTCCCAAGGACCAGGAAAAGTGACATTAAATGCCTGAAATGCGTTGGACTCTGGATTGCTCCTGGTTTTTAACAGCTGCTTCTGATGCTGAATGAGTTTGTGAMCCTTTGTGAAACAAACTCAAAGCTGATGTTGTGAATGATTAAATATTCCTCTCTTATAAACTGAGGGAGACAGAAGACTGTGGCTAAATGTTACAGCTACTGCTCTCAAACCTCATATAAAACCCCACAGAGTGGTCTAGGTCTAGGTTGAGAAAGATCATTCAATAGTAACTGGAAAAAAAAGAAGAAGGACTGTATTATTGAGCCAATATGCTGTACTTCACGCAGTGAACAGGATGTCATAATCTTCATCCTTTTTTTCATCACGGTTACTGTGGTTTTCTTTTCCAGCTCTGCTATTCTTGGCTGGCCAGTGTATGACAGTCCAATGTCATAAATAAAGAAATAGAAAGAAGGGCTGGATCCCTGGCAGTTCAGATTTCTTACCAACATTAAAATACTCATTTTCTGACACATATTTGTGAAAATGTGTGAAACCCATTTACTTGCTTGAGAATATGTGACCAAATGATGGGAATACATAAACACTCATCCAAACTTTTTTGGGTATATTGAGGTAAAAAAAAATCAACTCTTTTCGGGGGCTTTCTTGTGTGTTAGGAAGGCTTTTCTGTTGTGCTGCATATATTGGAGAGGCTTTTCCAGTTTTAATCTGGATGAAAACCACTGTGCCCCAGTATTTGTTCTTTATCCCGGTCAGAAAGTAGCAGTGGTGTCAGATTTGAGCCATGCTGAGTGGTGGAATTGGCTGACAAGTCTCGATTGTGTTCATCAGTTTTGGTTATTTCTGATCTGCCTGGTGAGCGTGAACATTCCCTTTCCTCCTCCCTGGGACTCTGTGGGGTTTGCTGGGATCTTCCCAAAGGCTGGAGTGCGATTTTCTCCCATTCTTGGGTGCTCACAAACCTTCAGTGCATGACTCCAGGGCACTGCATTGAAATTGGTGCATCAAATCTGCTTCTGAAATGAAGATTTCTGCCGAGAAAGACATGAGAAACTTGTTGAAATCACTCTACATTACTCTGGACAACTTACACAAGTTGTTGTGAATAATATCCAYTCTTAGAAGTGGATATTATTGTTATGCCATCAAAACTYTGGACAAGTTAATTACTGTGGTCAGGACTCACATGCTGTTATATTAATCTTAGACTAATYTTAGATGTTTTGGTKTGGAAGGAACCCTAAAGATTTCTTGTTCCAGCCCTCTGCCATGGGCAGGAACACCTGCTGGGTGCAGAAGTACAGAATGCACAAAACACAGCTGCTGTGAGAGAGTGAGAGCTTTTAACTTCGTAATGGACGTAGGAAAGGAAAGGTGCATGTTTCATTTCTTTAAAGTCTCTGATGCAGAATTTGGCATCATAATACAAACATTCCTCTTGGGCGAGGTGGATTTTAAAGGTGCAAGACTGTAAATTGCTGTAGATAGTGGAAGCTATAAAAATAGTAGCTTTTTATTAAAGTGTTTAATGTGGACATTATATTTATTCAGCAACTATATTTTTAATTTTTGTTGATAGAGGAAGCTATAAAAATATCAGGTTTTTTATTGAAGTGCACAAAAGAAAACATGTGAAGGTGAGACTGGATCTTTTGCATAACATAATCTGAAGACAAGAACATGAACAGAGTGATCAAATAATACTGAAAGAAGTAATTCAGTGAAACTAGCAATGCTGTCAGGTTAACTTTGTGTTTGACAGCCTGTGGTAAAAGTTCTGCCTCACCATTATGTGAAGATACTATTTGTGGAACCAGTACATATTAATTTCAACAGATAATGGTGAAAAGCATTACTTGAAAGTAGCACTCMCTGAAGCAGCTGCCCACTTAGATGATTAATGATTAGAAACACTGCTGGTATTTCTAATGTGGAAAGATTGCTTCCTTCAGGAGAGGAACAGAAATTTACCGTGGAGAGTTTCAGGTTATTTCACCATCTGCTCTGGATGTGGGCAGGTCCTTGCAGGATCCTAATTACATCAGTTGTTATTCAGTGTGTACATTCAGATTTACAAAGGTGTGGAGGGAGCTGGAAAGGGGCTCAGCCTGGAGCAAAATGGGATCAGGAGGGGGCAGCTGTACTCAACCAGTCCTTCTCTTACACAACTGGAAATCTCCATTTATTTGTTCGACACATCARCATTAAGTACTCAGAGAATGGATCTGGGTGAACGTGTTGCTCATTCTCTGCAACAAGCTAATTCCTGCTTAAAAATTGATGAAATTCTCAGGACCATACAGCTTTGCTCAAGTGGTCTCTGGAGATTTTATTTTTTTCCTTCCCTCTTTTTTATTTTTTTTTGTAGCTCACTTAATACTGTCTCTGTTGGCTTCTCTCTCTTTTTCTCCCAGCTTASTGCAACTTCTTTTCCTTAATGTTACCTAGATAAAGACTTTGCTGCTTTAATATATAATTTTCATTGTGACTTTCATTGCTGCAATTAAGTGGCTAATTGAACAGTTTATAATGTGCATCCCTAATTGCTTCTGCAATAGGTTAACTGTGAAAGGCAYAGAAAATTAACACACAAAATGTTGCCTGTGTTACCTTTTGCTAAGGAAAGCCTCAGAGATTTTCTTTATTTCTCTTTTTATGGGCAACRAAACTGCTTAAAATGCTTGAATATTGAACTTCCTTTGATACTGAATCCTAGCTGCCATCTACAGTGTAATATTCCATAGTTTAAAAATGCCCATGAAGTGTAAGTGTAGAAAATACATTAAGGGGTTGGGGTGTAACCTGCAGTAAAAGTTGTAAGACTGCAGTTAAACAYTTCCTGTCTTGCTTATCCTGCCAAAAATACAGAGCAGCAATTTGGACTTTCTGGATTGTCTGTTATAAGAATAGAGCAAAACTAATACAAGCCTTCAGAATACCTCCAATGGGTTTGTCACAGAATAAATAGAAGTTTAATCTGCCTTTGCTATTTATAATAAATACGGGCTTTCAGGCAGCTTTTATGCCAAAAAAATAGTAAAGTACTGGTCATGTGGGAGGGTGTTTCCAGCTGTTCCTGGACTGTGCACCAAATGGAATGGAGAGCAGCACAGTGCAAGGGCAGATGCAACAGAAACTTAGAAAAATACAAACTTTTCAAAGTTTATCTTCAGAGTTATCAATTTTAAAAGACATTTGGGGGTTTAATGTAACAATTTMATTATTACTAAAATGGTGTGATCATCATTTTAGCGTACAGATTTTATTTATGTTAAAGCTACGGCAGACTGAAAAGAGAAGCAATTATATAAATGTCAGGCAGGAAGTTTCTTGTTTATTTTTACAAATATTTCTTCATAAGTCTTTTTCTTCTATCTAACCTCCCCAAAAAGAGTCCATAAAGGATAAGTGGGGAAATGCTACATCTGAAAAATTGTTGTTTTCAGGTAGCTGGGTCTGTATATGTGTTTTCCATACATTTTCCCATTTTCTTGTCATCCCAGTGATAAGACCAAACAGCTTATTTGAACAGTGTTGATCAGTAGAGCCTATACAGTACTGATCTTCTGAAGGAAGATTTCTTGTACTGACCTTTTTCTCCTCTGTGTTTAAACTTCTTTCCTCCTCTTGTTCTTTACTAGTTCTGAAATTTACCTGATTCCCTTTTCTAAATCATATTGACTATCCAAATCTGTGAGATTACAGGCCTAGCTTCAGTCTGGTCCTCTTTCTTGCTGTGAATTTCTTCCAAACTGAAAAAAAACCCCAATTTCCTTGCTTGTTTTGAATTGCTTGATTCACTTTATTTCTTTATGCACTTTATTTTATTTCTTCCATGCTGAAGGGAGGCCTTGAAATTTAATGACACAGACAATAATTCTTCTAATTCACCTTTCTAAAGGTGAGTGCTGACCTCAGGAGGTGTCTGCATTATGATGGGCGAGGCTGTGTTCCACTGATGCTGCAGAATTTCTTTGGTCTGGATGTTTGTATTTCCCCGTCAGGAGCCTTTCCTTTTACTGCACGAAAAAAATCTGTAAACCTTCTGTAAAATACAATGTAAACCACATTGTATTTTAATTTTCCCCACCTCCACTGACTCCGGCGTGGGTTTGTTTCTGTGCAGGGTTCAACAACTCGGAGCGCACGTGTGACAAGGAGTTCATCATCCGCAGGGCCGCCACCAACCGCGTCCTCAACGTCCTGCGGCACTGGGTCTCCAAACACTCACAGGTACCCCCTCTTCAAACACACACTCATCAATATTTCACATGGTTCGTGCTGCAGCCAGCCTGGCTCAGCTGCTCTCGCTGTGGTAAAATAACCGAATTTTCGTGCAGAAATTTATACATTTGTTTGTTGTGAATTGCGCACGCGGTCCCTCTGTGAGCCTGGCAGGGTTGTGGGTTTGATTTGGGATTGTACAATGAATGGTGTTGGCAGAGGAGGGAAGGAAACAAGTCTGAGTGGTTTGAAATATCCTTTAAGCTGACTGGTGGGAAAAATATTGGGAGAATTTGACAGGCGTGTAGAAGAGTATTGAAAAATGTGGAAGGGAGGAATGAAGGAAAGGAAGAATGAACGAAGGGAGGAAGGAAGGGAGGAAGGCAGGAAGGAAGGAAGGAAGGAAGGAAGGAAGGAAGGAAGGAAGGAAGGAAGAGTGAGGGCTCTTTGGCAGCGAGAGATTTTTGTACACCTTGTGCAGATGGTGCTTCACAGCACTTGCAGACTGCTTTGTCAGTACATATTGCTTACAAAAGATACTTCATCTCAAAAGCTAACTGCACCAATGTCAAACTTTCTTACATGAAATCAATTCCCTTTTTCCCRTGTAAAGGGTTTAATTTTCGTAGAGGTTATGTTTGCTGGAGAATTAAGTCAGTAAGAGATGTGCAAGTGGGAAATCTGGTTGTGTTTGGAAAGCTGAACAGCCCAGAAAAGCTTACTAAAACCTCTCTTGGTACCACAGGAGTGATTAATCATGTCAAGTTATTGGAAACAGCCTATGTACACCAAGTTTTCTTTGACTACCTGTTAAATTAAAGTCAGAAACAAGCAAATCTTGAGCAGTAACAGGAGTGGCAGCACACTGTTATTACTGTAGGTTCTTACTGTGTTCCAGTTCATATTAAATAACTGCTATGACACAAGTTGATCCTCTATGCTAATTGAAATATCATTAATTTATGTGATTCTGGAAGTGTGAGAACTTTTATCTCCGTTAAGCAATATCTACAAGTAGTTTCATTGAATACTTTTGCAATTATTTTTACATTGTGTTTTCAGTTGGTATGCTTTTAAAAATAGGAAGAGGACAAAGTTAATGAGTTCATTGTGCATTTTCAAAGGGGAAATGTTACCTGGACTCCATGGTCTCTCACTGCCATTTCTTTTTCTGTGGCAAAGGTATCAGAATTTAATTCTGTACTTCTCCTTGTCCATTACTATTCCAGTATAGCAAATATTTTAAAATGGCAAGGGCTTTGGCATGGAAAGTAAGAAATGCTACAGCAACAGAGCATGCAATCAGCTTTTTGTGTTCACTTGTGAGACTGGGGAAAGAGAAAGGACAGCAGACCTAAGCAAACCAGAAATAACTGAGTAGTTGCTGCCAAAAAATATGGGACAGGACTGCTCTAAAGAGGACAAGTGAGGAATTACTGTCTGGCCAAACAATGTGAAATGCTGGCAGTAAAGATGAAGAGTCCTGGGAGAGCAGTAGCTCCAAGCTTATTTTACAGTAACAACACAAACTGCAAATCCTGAGCTGCCACTGTCTGGTGAGGAAATGCTTATTCAATTTCCAAAATGACAAAACAATAGAAACACTGAAATTCTCTAAGAACAACAGTGCTGCCAAAAACTTTTATACATTTTAAGGTATTTGCATTGTTCTCTGGCTGCTCAGCAACTTTGGTTGAGACATCCTTCATCTTCATGAGCAGCCAAGGGCAGGTTTGATTCTCAGAAGCAGGGCAGGTTTTATTCTGAAAAAACACAAACAAACAAAAAACCCCAAGTTGCAAAATGAGTGGAAATAAATGGATGTATACAAAGATAACCACACAATTTTGATACTCTTTTCTGTCTGCTTTGCATTTTCTTTTGCTGCAAAAAGTCCCAGCACCAAATGGGMAATTTCTCCCTGTCCAGAGATTGTTCTTCTTGCAGTGTCCCAGGATCTTTGTGGTCATCACCAGCCTACACCARTAGTGAAGGTGACCGACCATGCATACTTTTTTTCTGGCAAAACACCATTTTCTCATCACTGGATGCAAAGAGATTCAAAGACAATAGCTGTGCAAACTGTGTGGTTATTTCCCTGGCAGRGGAGGTGGTGCTGCCAACATGCTCTGGTGCTGCAGCTCGTGAATAATTCTGCAGCATAATTCTGTGTTCTCAGATTCACCAGTGGCAAGGCTGCCTAAATTGTTGTCCTKATGTCTTGTGCAGCGGTGCAAGACTCACACAGAGGCATCTGTTCAAAAGCTCTGAGCAGCATCATCCCATTTCACTATTCCCTCMCTCCAGGCCTCCCTCTGGAGCCCTTGGCTCGCTCAGCCTGCTGCTCTCCTGCATGTGAGAGCATGGGGCAGGATTAGTGCATCAACTGAGGCATGCAGGGCTTACCCAAACAAATGGTTCAGAGCCTTGTGTTTGCTCACTTTRCTTTAGAAAATCCTTGGCTGGGGTTTGGAATCAATTTGCTTCCACCGTCTTGCAGCTGTGTCAAAACCACACTTGGGGATAGTTTAGCATTGCTCTTT